CAGTCTGCAAAAAAATTAAAACAAAAATAAACTATAAATCAACAAATGCGCTAGAATTTAAACATTAATCCCCTAACGATAATAAAGAAGTGTTGGTTTGTTGCAGAAACATGTATTTCTAACGTTGGGACCTGATTACATGAGCTAGGCTGGCTCAGTTTTGCCGAGATCTCGATAACCGAGCCAGCCTGGTTATCGTGTTATCACTAGGTTGATTTTTGTTGCGTTTAACTGACTTGAGTGCTGAGATCTCGGCAAAACCCCGGCAAAACTGAACCAGCCCGGCTTATGTAGCCAGGCCTTAAGACGAGTGAAATTCCGAGCTTAAATTTTTAAGCACTGTTGGATTACACAAATGAACTTGAACGTAAACGTAAATTGGATTTAACAATAAATTCAAACGATCACTGATGAATATTCTGATAAATTCGCGGAATTTTGTAGTCAGTAGCTATTCTCGTCGAAATTACTTTAAGTTAAATTTGTTTTCAAGCTTTACGCCATTTTATTTTCGGCCGAAAATTTAAAATTTCGGTCAAACAACAACAATCAGGTCATCTACGCTCGCCGGCCATTCCTCTGAGATCACGAATGAATTCTCATGCAATAATGGCATCAATCTAGTTTTGTGCTTAATTAAATGATATCTTTCGGTCATTCCCAGGGTGCCACCCTTGTTCAAAATGAAATACTGTACTCTTGTTTTGCGACGAGTATGCTAAACAAAGTATCAGAATCATAATACTGTTGAACCTCCTCAGTTCAGTCTGGGAGCATGTAAATGTAACTGCTGGTGAGTGAAAATTCATAAGAATCGGTGAATATGCTAATAGCAATAGGAAATAAAAATGGCTGAGCAGGGTATTTCAAGAATTGAAAGCTGCAAAGTTACTCTTTTGACAAATTGTATTTTTTGAAATCATTCTCTGAAAAATAGCTTTGGTAAAATTCGCTCCCTGTGACATCTTAGAATTTTAAATCAACTGAAAAGTAGATTTCTTTGGTGTCCTACCATTTTAACCCCCCAACTCCCAGAAGTGATTAACATGTAACTTCTCCCTGTAATATCCATACATTATCCAGCAAACAGGTAATGAGAAGACTCAAACTTATTTGGTAGAAGTTGTTATCCTGATCTAACACCAAATTCTCGTGGCTAATTTACAAGGAAATGTGGTGTAGCTAAAAGGGGAGAATTAACAACCAGATCTTGGGAAGAAAAATATCAACGAGGGGATTAATGGTTGATACAATTCCAAATTCTTCAAGCCATCATCATATGAATTGTATGGTAGACAGCAAGAAGAGTTACTAATAAGATCTTGAGCTCACGATGAACTCTCAACAAAATCAGCGAAACAGATATCAATTTTTTAGCATTCTCTTTCAATTGGCTTTAGCCTCAAACAATAACGCTTTAAGATTTTTTAATAAAAAAGGAAGTATAGTATCTTGCAGATGATGAAAAACTCTGGAGGAAATTTGAGAGATAAAACCCAACTTCTAAGCATAATGTTCGGTTTAGTTGTAGTCGAACCCTAGAGCTGAATACATCTAATTAAAGATTAGGCTCGAATATTTTTAACGAGTCATGTTAGAATGAATTAATATATCAGTGTACGGTAAACCTTAAAAGCAATTTTAGAAAAAGCGAGAAGAGGTAAAAGCTTACTCACCCTCAAAACTAGTCTAAGATTTTTATTGAGATGACGTCAAAAAAAAGAGATCTTTTTAAGTTTATGATATACTCAGGAAGCAATTCGAGAAACAAAATTCAATTTTGGAGCATACCACAATAATTTGGTTTTAGCCTCTAGAGCTTAGGCGGTGTAACTGTTTAAGCTCGTAGATCGTTATTGGATCATGTCAAAAAAAGTTCTTTATAATTTGACGAGTACTCAGGAAGAACTTTGGCAAAAAAATATCTCCGTTCGGACTGTACACCCTTAATTAATTTGGTTCACAACTCAATTTCGTAACAATTAGGCTCCAAGGGTTTAATCCTCTAAATTGAAAAAAATATTCATTTTTGTAAGAAGTTATACGACTACTAAACCTTTCAGATCTTGAAAAGAAGTCTGGGTTTCTAGATAATCTTTTTTAAAAAGATCGAGGAAAAGCTGGATGACCGATATCATTTTTACAATGATTCCTTAATCTTAGAACTTGAAAATAATTTGATTCGATTTTACTAATATGGTAACTTGGTCAGCCGGATAGATAGTCAGAACAAGACAAGGATCACAAGATATTCCTTTGACGTTGGTGCAACAGATAAAAAGTATTCAGGGCAGAATTTATCCATCAAACGAACACTGCTGAAAACAAGTGAAACCCACTTCCCCAAGATTACTTTTCCTCTGATAATTTAATACCAATGTTTGCCACCAAGAAATATCGAGCAATAGAATTGCTTCATTTCAAACTTAAGATTTTTTTTTAATTTACCAGAGTTATAGGCTTAGATGACTTAGTCCGTTAAAAGTCTAAAGACCAACCTAATTGGATGTTATCCTTTTTTCTTTCCTCTCTTCATTCCTTGATTTCCAAGCTGTTTCATGCTGTGCTTGACGCTGTCTTGACTGGAAAAAGGAAAGATAATATCACTATATGCATGTCTATCTTTAGGTAAGGACTTACTTTGACTATTGGCACCTTACCATAATATTACATCGATATTTGACTTGCTGAATTGTTGCTATGGTAATTAGAAAAGACTGGAAGATGGTCAAGATACTGCCAACAGTGAAAAGGTGTTTCTTTGAAATTCTTATCTTAACACCAACCTAAAAAGAGCAGTAATTAAGGTGACTTGCAGTAAACAAGCTCCCATTTCTGATGTTGAACGAGAGTAGAAAGACAGTCCTCAAAAATGAAATCATAAAATCTACAAGTGTAATGCAGTGATGTGCTTTAACATTCGACATGGTAAGGAAGAGTAAAAGGAAAATATTCCAGATAAAGACCCGTCTTTGCATACGAGATTGCCTCTAAAAGCTGCAAAAGTTATCTTCTGTAGCATTTATGAAGTAACAAGGAGCACGACGATTCTTCTTGGTTGGGAAGCAGATGCTTATTTTGTCACTTTCCTTGGAAGTATGAATTAAAGCAAGTAAAGCAGCCTCTGTTTGAAAGATGGGAACCAATCCTCTTTTGCCAGGAGTCTACGCTATAAAGTTTCTAAGATTACCCTCTACTTTGACAGGGCTGGAGGGTTAGGGAAGAGGTAGTGTGTTTAAAACACACTTTAGTTCAATAAACTATAATAACAGAAGCTATTTTAAAAATATGTACAGGAATGAAAAGATGAATAAGTAAATAAGCAATAAGTACACTAACAATTAAGTGTGAATTTCTCTCGTTGCCAGTAAAGTCACGTTCAAGCAGAACTGTCATGGCGGCGGATACTGCAGAGAATTTGTCGTACTTTGTGTTATATGCATTACGCTCTTTCTTCTTCCATTTGATTCAGTAAATAGATTTAACAAAGACCACAACGAGAAACATTGACACTGTATTACTTCCCATAAGTATCCTTCCGTAGCTTATTTACCTGAAGAATAGTCGTAACAAATTGAAAAGTATGAATCCTCGGCATGGTATCTGAACCACTTGCTCCAGCATAAGAAACGCTTGCCGACCTGAACTGAACAGACAACATCCAAGGTAACAGGGTCGAAATAACGTGTTTCTGGACTCCATCGAGGCTAAAAAGGACGCTAAAATTTCTTATACTTCATAAGCTCTTTCCACGTGCAAGACTGAGCGCAAATATGAATATTAATTTTGAAAATGATTTGTAATTCAAATGAGTTCTCCGACTGCAAAAGGCGGGTTCAAAATAATTGACTCCGAGTATATCAGGCTGATCCGTTCGACTGAAAACCAAGTAAGATGCTTCGCTCTAGACAGATTTTCAACTTAAGAGAGAGGAAGAGAAAGAGATACTTTGAAAAACTTAAACAAACAGACTAAAACCCCAGCTCCTCAAAAACCTTTGAGTATTTCAAATTAATACTCACTCGCATTAAGAAAGCTTAACCATTTACGAAGCTTGAAGTGTAAAATATTTAAAAGTGAATTTCAAAAATACATTGACCAAACTCCATATCAAACGAGAAAAGTATCAGACATTCACCTTTGGCTTTTAAGACTTGACAGCCCTTTTCTGTCCAGTTGAGCGTCCCTACATACATTTTATCTTCGTTTGTGAAGTCTGCAAATGTGTACTTTGATCAGGGATTGAGCAAAAGGAATGAAAAACTACCTTGATAATTTGTGCGTCCGGCCAGACACAACAGACGACATTTTGAATTATATTCGGATCCTTCGGTGTACTCAGGAAAAAATGTTACCCTTAGTTCGATCCCTTTAGATATATGAACAGAAGACAGCAGCACGACTCTGGGGACAGAACGAAACTTAGTAAGGACGGCAAGGGATAACACGTTGAATCCAAGTTTAATACATAAGTTAATCAGAGCGGAGTGACTAAGAAACTTTAAGGTCCATACTGAACATCTTATTGTCCACAAGGTCAAAAGTGAAAGCTCGATTTTCGCCGCTCTCTCGTGTCCGGTCTTCGCTCCTGGGTTCGGGGGGAGGGCGCGGGCTCACTTTCCAGAACAGTGGCTGGTAATCGAGCCTATAAAAAGTGTTTCTTTTCAGTAAGGTACTCCATGTTTTTTCGGGATTCGGGTCTCTCTAAATAGCCAGTGGGCAGGCTACCATCATAAGCGCTTCGGGACTAGCGTTTCTTTGCCTGCAGGAAAGTATGAAGCCTTCAGCAACGCGAACCTGCAAGGGGTTCGCAAGAGGTCCAGCTGAAATTAGTGCCGAACCCTCGGCAAACCTCTCCCCGACTCGTCTCAATCTTCCCGCGGGCGGAAAAACACGCGTACTGCAGATCCAATGAGGGACTGCTCGGATGCTGCGACTGAACGAGCTCATAAAAACACAAGCTTTATTATTTTTTTAATTCGTAAAAATTTATTTTCAATCCTCCTTCAGTTTCATAAATTAGTTAATTATTTTAAAACTCAAACAAGCGACCGCCATAGACGGCGTACCTCTAGATGAAAAATAAAATTTCCCTGAGGGAAAGAATGCTCTAAAGTGTTATCTGTGATGGAGCTGAAATACGTAATATTTGTCGTTGCTGAAAGCCTTTTTAAAAGGCGCTGGATTGTCCATTAAAACGCTACAGCAGCTCGGTCGAGACCTGTTTTCTTCGTCTTCTAGGTCCCAGATGTCGACCATACCACAGCCAGCTCTGCAGAAAAAAAAACATGTTAATGTTAATTAAGTCATTAGTTCAATCAATTTTTAATTAATTTTAGAGCAGGAATTGAGTGTTGAAAAACCAAAACCCAAGTTATTCCAACGACCAATCAGAACAAAGGTTCATGTTATCATTAGCCAATGAGAACTCAGAATGAAAACAAGCAAACTGTCCAAACTGCCTGAAGCGCGGAAAAACGCGAATGACCGAGGCACGATTCTTTGAAGCTTTGTATCTGATTGGTTGAGAGGATTGCGCAAGTTTCTGGACCAATCACAGAGCAAAGTTGAGTAAATCCCGCATTACTTTCATCCCTACATTGAAAATTGTTTTTAGAAGGAAAGTTGGCATTGCATTGATTGCATTCGAAACAAATATATTTACTTCGGTCTTCCTCTGCACCACTGAATGTCAACAACCACATGGGTAACTTTCATGGAATTCAGAGTTTGCCAAACTACAGTTGGCGGCTTCCGGCTGAAAATCTGATACACTTTGTGAGTTCTCTCTCTACAAGAAATGAACGGAAGAAGATTGTGAGTTAAATTTGAAAGATTTGGAGGCCACATTTGTGGAATTTACAAAATATATCTTTTTGCTCTCACTTTAATCCTAACCCTAACCCCCCCCCTCCCCCCCACCCTGAATGGGATGCCACTCGATTGCAGGCAATCCATGGTAGTTCATCTGGTTTACCCAAAAGTTTACCGGATCCTATCGAGAATCCTAGTAGGGTAAAGGAACTGTGAAAATAAAGTGCCTTGCTGTAGAATACAACACTTTGTAAACCCCATCAGTCCCAAGATCTCATAAGTACTTAGTGTTTGCCAAAAAATTTTTAAGAAGTTAGTTCAAAGAGTTTGGTATTAATTAGATCAACCAGTAATCCCCTAACTGATAGTTTTCTATATTCTCATAACTTGTCTGCTTGATATTGTATCGATAATGTAAGGAGAAATGATTTTTTTGGGAGTTACAGGGTAAAAACTGGTTTACGCTTTGAACAAGAAAGAAGTTCGATTTCGAGCTTGGTCATGATATAGGGGAAGATGTCATTGGTCTTGACACGAGCCTGGGACGAAGGAAAAGTATCTGTCCCCTAGGGGGAACTGGACCCCAGACCCTCGGATTCCGCGCTCCGATACTCTACATATGAATCATATGGACACGTAAACTCGCCAAAGTTCAACATAGAGACTTAGGCCACTTGGGAGATTGAAATCGTTATTTAAGGTTAGAGTAGGTTACCTAATGCCAACGTCTTCATAGTGAGGATGGTTAACAATGGCTCGTCCGGTGCACAATTTGACGGTTGCCATGGTTGGCATGGCACCAGCAAAAACAGCAGCTACGTGAAGAAACAAATAGCATGGTCACATAGGGAAATTTCCATGAATTTGGGTCCGGCCACACTGAAAGAATAGGTTCTTGCCGGTGTAAATGGATGACGAGTGCTCGCGTTCGAGTTGCTCTGCATCGTCTCTTGAAAACTTTAAAGATTGGAGTTATTGTAAAATTTCGTCTGCAATATTCGGCGCTCAAGAATTCCGCGACACTGCATGACTACTTCATACACGAACAAAAAAAAACTCGTTTTATCCAAAGAGCAGGGTAAGTTCAACCCTTTTCGTTCAAGAACGGGAAGAACAGAAGGGTGGCAAATATCTGTCCACTTACGAGCGAACAGTTCAGAGATTTTGTATAAGGTGATTGTTAATAAGTAAATGCAGTTCCTACACTCCGTGAAGCTGTCTACGTTAAGAGTAGCGCTATCTTCATGTCAACTTCCCAGAAGAAACACGTAGAGCTAAATCTATAATTCTGTCAAAAAGGGGCATCGAAAAATGGCCTTTGTATTGCACTCCCTAAGGAAGAAAGGTCGTACCAACAGGTATTGAAGTACTGTATCATTCACAAAAACTGATACAGACGTTCTACCGAAATGTATTCCCGCTCTCCCGCCCCAGTCCCTGGCTAAACAAACAAACACAAAACAGAAATCACACAGTTAATCAGACTCATTTTACATGTATTTGTTACTTACTTTTGGGTGTCTCGGTGTTGATCCACTCAACCTGTAATGATATAATTCAAGATGTACAAACTCACCAGCATCAAAAACAGCGCAATCGATTATGTAGAAAAATTTTAAGTGCAGATTACAGCTACTGCTTCTCCTCTTTAAGCACGTTGATTTGTTTGGTTTTTCATCTTTTAATGCTAAAACAAAATTGGCGTTCAAATGCAACGATTTGGTTTTAGATGTAATTCACTGAATGACTCAGGCATACTCGGAGAAAAAAAAATTCCGAGGGCTCTTGACGGGAGTCGAACCTACGACCTTCCAAGTGGTACTTCAGACGTTCTACCACTGCGCTATAGGAGACCGTCTCCTATAGCGCGGTGGTAGAACGTCACAAGGCTTGTGGCAGGCTAAGTCGTTTAAATATGTCCATGCTGACAAACTTCCTCCTTACTGCTAGGATAGAAATGTCGAATGTCATGCTTTTGCGCGATGATGTCGTTGATGAAAATGGTAAATGTGAAACGTAGTTAGTTAAGTGAAAGATGATGTTATTCGTTGAATAACAAAGGCATACTCAGAGAAAAAAAATGTCAGAGTACTATTAAAAGGAGTCGAGATCAGTTATTTTTATACGGTTTTGTTAGTCTTTCTTAATGTCTACGCACTCAATTCTTATAGTTGATGATGGAATCATTTCCTAGTAACTGAGTGAGTAGAGGTCTTTACTTACCAGTGCCTCTTGTTCTGGGTTGTTGTACTCTCCCTGTGTCGCCTGAGTTAAAATAAGGAAACATCAACAATTTTTTACCGACTTCTTCCAACTGCAACGATATCAAAAGAAATGCTGAACTTCTTTGGCGTGATCTAGCATTGCATAACATCAGATCTTTGAAAGACAGGCGCGAGGAACAGTGTTATCTCATTCGTATTTAATAATAGGCATAAAGTCTACTGATCATCTGCCACCAGCCAATAACATTAGCAGATACAATTTAGAAACCAGCCAAACATGCGCACTAATCGTTACACGAACACATTCATTCATGTTCAATCGGTAGAACTTTTGCGCGTAGTTTTTTTTAATCATCATGTTAAATTTTAAATCACATTAACTTATCATTTTATAAATGAGTATATAACTTTAACCTTTTGTAAATTTGAATAATTCAATAACCTATCCATTTATCTTTCTATCTATCACTGATTAAGTGGTAGAGTCTGTTAACCCTTTTACGCCTGAGGGTGATTAACATCTAACTTCTCCTCACAGTATCAACACTGAATCAAACATTAAGGTCAAGAGAATGAAGCAAATGATCGCCATCTAAAGAAGCCATTGATTTTTTACACAAATTCTTCTTGTTAGCACCTTAAGAAGTACATAGGGAACAGTTTGGAGAAAGAAACGCACAGAAACGACATCGCATCCAAACGCTTATTGCAGAAGTTTACGAAAATACTTTCATAGGTTTATCACATACATGAAATAGTGATAATAATAAATACTCACAAACTGAGTTTGTAGGTTCATGATTCCTTGAACAGACATGGCAGCAATCAGGACCACCACGGCTGCTTGGTGCTTTCGCTTGTCGCAAATAAAACCAAACAACTGAAAAAAAGGAAGACAAACTCGACGCTGTACATCTTTTCGACAGAACATAAATTGCTTTGACTTATTTTAACGCGCGCTCCTCTCTTATTCAAAATCACGCATAGTAAAGGTGTTTATCAAACGGCTGGCTGCGCTATAAGGCAAAATGAAGCGAGTCGTGGATTCCGATTGGCAACAAAAGTGCGCAATATGGGCTGATATTGCCTTCATTCTCTCTCAGAGAAATAAAAATTCCCTGTGTTAGTTATTATCGCCAGTTTAAATACCTTCGTCGTAACCTTTGGGACAACCCCTCGGTTACAAAAGATATACTTTGACAGTTTTTAAACCAATGGCATCGCAAAACAAGTGTTGAAGACAGTCAAAACAGAGGGAAAACCATGATGATCTTCGTTGATTTATTTTGCAATTAAATGTCTTAATCTTCTTGCAAAAAGCTGACATTAAACCCACATTTCACGCAAATACGATGGAAAGAGTATGGAACACGCGTTATTGAACTATCATCCTTAACAAGGTCAGGAGGAAATACATTTTCATCGTTCTTGTAACGTTCCCTTGTTTAAAATGATTAAATAAGAAAAATACCAGTGGATATAAATTTGAATTACCTGTCTAGAGGCCAGAAGGGACGCCATGACACACAGAGCTGGGGTACCAAACAACTTCAGCCGCATAATGATGATCGCCATGGCAACGAATGCCAGCGACTGCAGCACGTGATAGAGATGCTAAGAGAAAAGGAGGGAGGATACTTAGTTAGGATTTTCTATTGGCAATAAGAGAGGGGGCAGTGGGGGGGCGCAAATGAAAACCCCTGGGGTCGATCAGATACCGAGCAGACAAGTGACGAGAATAAAGAGAAATATTAACAAAGGGATTATTAGTTGATTCAGCAGTAAATTCTTAGAGTTAAAATTGAAAAAAATGTATGGAAGACGGTAAGGACATCTTGGAAATGATATGTTTAGAAATAACACAGCGAGGCGCACCAGTTTCTATCCTTACCTCCGCGTGAGGTTTAAGATTCACTCCCTTCCTACAAAAAAATGAAACTTCAGTTAATAAACTCTCCTTTAACGTATGTTATTATATAGCTGACCGCAAAACTAATACCCGAAACAACGCTTAAATATGTTTTAAAGTTTTGTTAAACAAGTTTCAAAATCATTTCTCCATAGGAGCTGCTTAAACTGATGTTTGTCAACTTCAAATTTAGTACATTGAAAATTCGAATTAGTGACAACTTGAAACCGATGAACAATTCTTAGAGAAGGCAAGTTTCTAAAGAAACTATGGTGCTGCATCGGTGGGAGAGTATAACAAGATAATTTGGATCAGTTTTATCAACGGTGTTGATGATGTAAAATTGGCCTCCCTACAGAGTTTCTAACTTGACGTTTCGAGCGTTAGCCCTTCGTCATTCGCTCTAACGAAGGGCTAACGCTCGAAACGTCTGCTTTAGCAACTCTTTAGGGAGGCCAATTTTTATTATCAACTCCGTTAATAAAAACAAATTATCTTGTCGTGAAAAATTCTGTTTTTCAGTTCTCTGTTTATGATTTTAATTCAGTTAAACCAGGTTTAACTACACATGTTGTGTTGGTGTGAATGGGGTCTAACATTAGTGGTATCTGTCTCGAAGAAAACTTTTCAGGAGGTCTTACTTAAAGTCGTCTGTTTCCTCCTCATCCGATTCAGGGTCTGACATTTTAGGATTTTCTTTCTTGTCTTTTGTAGCCATCAAGGTATTCCACTCATTCTTCAGAATCTAAAACGGAGTTTAATGGACTTCTATCGTTATTGGAATGTGATTAATTACAGCTGCTTCAAGAAAGGTTTTCGGAAAAAAAGTGTAAAAGCGCACGCGATAACCCCTAAGGGTATTGTGGGTAGCTTTTAGGTTACGACTACTTGACCTCAGAATTTTAGAGAAATCTGAAGAAAACGTAATTGTAAGGATGATGAATTTATCTATTTCTTTGACTTATTAAAAATCATTGATTACCGGATACCCTGATTAGCTTTCGAGATTGTCATGTACACTTTTTTCCTTTTTTCTGACAACAACCTTTCTGGAAACAGCTCTATACAAATGACCCTATTGATAAAAAAAACACTTAGATATAGTGACATGAAACCTTACAAACATCATTTTAAATCATGAGCTTTTATAACGCTTCGTAAGCAAAGCTGCATCGTAAGATCATTTGTCCACAAAATTGGATTTCACTCACAAGTAAGATTTTAAAGAAAGACTCTTTTTAATAGAAGAATTTCTCAAGGACAACCTTTTTTGGTTTAAATGAATTGAAGACACTGGTCAAGTAGATTATGAAGGATTTCAAGGAAACTCTGCTTCGGCAAATTAATAAATCAATGAGAAGATTTCTATGCAGCGTACAAGTTTCCCTTAAAAAACAACCTTCCCAAGGAAAACTTGTGTGGTCAGTACCACTTAATCTTACAAATTGTTGCTAAAATATTGTGCAACTTTTTTGACTTTTTACCTTCAGTAAAACAGCTGTAAAAGATACAATTGCAGCTGGTAACAGCAACGTCTTGGTCAGCTTTGTCGGATTCTATTTGGAAAAACAATGAAACAGATGATTTGGATAAAGCCCTCCCTAAAAAGCTATGGTACCCGTCTGGAAGATCGAGTTTCTGATGAGAGAATGTGTTTAGGCTAATGTGTTTGACACAAAGTGCGAAAAAAACCAACAAGAGCGTGTCGCCCATACCGTGCCGTGGAACATACAAAGGCAAACTCAAACGATGAGATATCCGCGAAGTCTTCCTTTTCGGTGACATTGAACGGATTACCCATTGTCCACGACATTAACAACGCTTTTTAAACTCTTAAAACATTTCTTAGTAACAATTTATGGCATAGAATACCAAAACGCATGTCAAATAAAGTTATTGAAGTAGAACACTTGAAAGATAGTGGAATTGTCGCTTCTCACTATTTTCGGAAGGAATAAGCAGGAATGAGAATCCCAGCTCAAAGTAACAAAGTCTGGTTTAAGACGGTCGACTAAACATTGGTTTTCCTCTATTCTTATTGCAATATTTTCTACGACACGAAATCAAAATGCGAATAAAGCAAAAGCAGAGTGACTTGTGGTGTAAATGAATAGTTGCGGAGACTAATTCAAACGGTCTCGGCTATCATATGTCCACTCTGGATTACATATATGTTATGTTGAAGTTAAAGAATACAATCAAGGTGAATGAAGAGTACACATGTCAAAAATAATGAATCTGCTGTAAGGAGCTTCTCTCTAATCTGAGAAAATTGGCTGATTTTTCACAGATGAAAAATTCTTCACCTCACAAAGAACAAGAGATCACCAACCTCTGGATCTAAAAAGTCGAATTCTGGTGCACACGTGTACAAAGCCGTGTCAAAATTCCTGAAGCTGGAGAACTTGGACCGTAAAATACTTGTGATATGTGCCTGAGAATGAAGGTAAACGAACAAACAATAAAACAATGATAAAGTACAGGTAGAAACTACAGAAATCTAAGTATTATCCCTTCACGCTCCAACATCAGTATGCATATTTCCTTAATGTTCTCTACATATTTCCCAAGGGTGCTGACAAGGAGAATTTGTTTGATAATCGAGCGCTTTTTAACTTTGCGATCAATTCCGTTAGTCTCATTACCTTAACATTTGATTCAAGGGTGATACTGTGAGGAGAAAATTACTGAGAAGTCAGTCACTCTTAAGGTTTAAAGGGTAAAGTTCTCTATTTTAGGAATCCTCCCGCAGTAGTACGAAAAGTCGTTCACCAAAGAGAAATCGCTGTTAACAGAGAGTGTATCACCGCATCTCTGATATTTCAAAAGATGGATCACATCTTAATTATTTACCCGCGTGAGTGCTGCTGTGCTCACTAACAGAGAGGTATTTTTTTTTTCTTAACTTATTAATAAATCTAAGAAATTTGAAGAGAGCAGTGCTATTTTATTTGGAATACGCAAATTAAAGAGACTAAAATATCTTACATCATCTGCAATTCCCAGGATCTTTGCTATGGCGATCTTGATTCCTACAGATCCAGTAAGGAAGATGACAGCCTGGGCAGCCTGTGACATATCATTAATCAGTTCTCAACAACAACAAAAAATGATAAACTCCAACTGCTTTTAAGATTGTCTGTAAGACACGTTTCTCTTTTCATTTAATAAGTTTATGGTAAACTGCTGTATTATGGTGATGTTCATGTAAAAACCTACAGATAAAAGAGTAAAGAAACTACAGAAGCTAAGAGTGCCGAATAATGTGGTGTAATTTTTTTTTTGCTGTCGCTGTTCGTGTTTAGTACAGTCGCTGTAACTCGTTTTTTCCTTAGCATCTGCTAGGCATGCTATACGAAGGTAGTATCAAGTGTACCTCATGTCTACTTCATAAATAAGGGCTTGAAACTCGCCTTAACGCTCAAGAACAGTTCCTTAGAAGTTCAATCACAGATCACACTTTTTTTTTTTCACCTACCCATATAACAAGCTGATGGGGCAGTTGGTAAATAAACGGCTCAAGATTGGCAATGATCTGTGTTGTAATAAAAATTAAACAGAACAAAATGAAACAAAAATTACTGTGTAACTGTCCATCAATAAATAAAAACGAAGAACACACTTTGTAGGGTACATATTGCGAGTCTATAACAGCCTACTAAAGCACAAAGGAGTAAATTCTACATCCACAAGACATGATACTCCATCGCAAGTCGCTCCTCTCCCCCCCCCTCCACCCCTCCCTCAGAAAAATGTGAAGTTTCCATGAAAGTTCGACGGTATCTACTTATACTCAGTCTGAGAGCGGGTGACACCTTATCTCCCATAATCATTATCGTCTTTACTCGATTTAACAGCGATTGATAGCGTTTATGACAATTAAGCGTTTCGGATGCAGCGTTTATCCACGAACAGGTTTTATTCAAATCGAGGGCGTGTACTTCAGAATCAAATTTCTTGAACACCGAATATTAGAGATCATTTCTAACTATTATCTACAACAGAAGCACGTCTAAGGTTCCAAAGTCTCGCTTTTTCGCCGGGATAGAATGGAATTTGTCTTCCTTGTGATAGGCAAAATTTAGATGATGCAAATTACCGATAAGTACCGTACTTGTCTTGCTTTTATCGTTATCCTCGAATAAACGCTACATGTTTCTGATTGGAAGCGCCGTACATTCTTGGGCAGCTTTTATAAGGACATGTAGCTTCTCTTCCACCTGCAGCGCTTATTTGTGGGCGGCATTACACCGGGCAAAAACAGCTTACGGTCATTTATTGTATAAAGAGAGAAGGTTCACTTTAATCACTGAGTTGAGTGCACTTTTGAGTTCTGAACATACTCACCAAAGTTGTGATGAGAGCCGACAAGAAGAATGAGCTGATGGTTTAAAAATAGAGCTTCGATCAGTTTCAAAGAAAAACAAATGATACAACGACCACTTAAACACAATTGAAATTCCATAAAAAGGCATTCGTTTCTAGGCGGTGTCAGACTCTCAACCAGAGGAGACGAGCGAACATTTGGGGCGCGCAAAAACTGTCGCTCATAAAGCAAGCGGAAGTAAAGAAACATTGCAACGCAACTGTCTCGTTGATGGCCACAACCTCCGCGTCCACTTGTTTGCCATCTTTCGCGCACCCTTCTTTTCGCTCGTCTACATTTACTAAGATCCTACCAAGCTGAGTCACCTGATGAAACTCTACTTTAAAATTGAAAACTAACGTTTAGGAAGTCTCTCCTCTTTAGTGTTTACATTTCTATGTACTGTAGTGGTGAGAATATGTAGTTTTATCAAGAAAGCACCCTACTGTTGATAATTCTCGTTTTTCTCATCACCTGTCTATGCGACAACGTACTAAAATTGTAGGAAGAAGTTTTACGTTTATCACTCCTCTGACACGAAAACCAAACTGCATACCTCAGAAGCATGGAGTTTCCAAACTGAATCACAAAATTTAATAAATGTCCCACCTGCATATAATAGATAAGGAACAGTTTTGAATTAATTTCGTCCCTAAACTTGACACTAATTTAAATCTTTTTTTTGTTGTTGTTGTTCATTGAGAACGGATAGACTACGAACTACCAAACTGACACACAGTAATTGATAAACTAATGGATGTACCAAAAATGAAGAAATTACATACCAGCAATCCATATAACACAATGCACAGTTTATGGGAAGTGATAAACTTAAGAAAGTACAATCCAAACAAGGCACATGTCTACAACAAAATACAGTTTTCTCCTTTAAATACACTTGTCATAATATTGAATAAGTAATTGTATGTACAATCTAAAAAAGTTTGTTCCTTTCTGCAATGTTCTTCTAGCTCAATTTAAACAAAAAATTAAAAAATGGATAAAAAAACTTCACTTAAATGTCATTCATAATCAGTTCTTTGAGTTTGTCGAACCCAGTGAGAAGCTAAAGCTATAAAATTTCTAGTAAGCCTTGGATCATAATAAGGTGCACATTTTATGGGCATCTCCACAAGGTTTTCCACCCCTAAGGACAGCCAAAAAATCATGAAGACCTAGGACTCAACCACCTTTTACCACAAGTATGTACAAGAATCTTTCACTACTATGTGTACTACTGCAATTACCCACCTGTGTTAGCAGTGCAAACTGAGCAAACTGGAAAAAAAGGAGAGAGAACTTTCTTTATCAATAATCAAATAATCAAAACAGATAGTAAATAAGTTTAAGAGAACAGAGGAAAAAATTATTTTAAATCAATTCATGAAAAGGTATAAAATAAAACGATATGCATGTCCTGCTTTGATCAAAAGAAAACAGTTTAATTCTTTTTCAAATTTTAAGGAAGCAAAACCTCTAAAAATTTGTCATCTACCAACAGGTGTTATTGGTAACTAATAAGTTCACATTAAAAACCCATTTTTCATTAACTAGAGTACATGTATGAGGGTATCAGTTATTTCATAAAAATATATCAAACATCAAACCTTTCACTCACACTGGTGACCACAAATAATTTATCCTTACAAAATTATTATGTTACTGGCCATAAAGAGAAAAATATAATTTAGGGGATATCATTTGATTTCATGTCAAATTATCAGTTCCAGAATTACAGGGAATTTATTGAGAACTGATCTTTAGATCATCAGAGTGAAAGCATTGATCATACCCCCAATGATTAGCCTTACCTGCCATGGAATCATGAATAAGCTTGTTGTTATGGCAACTAATGATAGGTGTCTCCAGTCAGCCTTAGGTGACCTAACAAAAAATAAAAAAAGAAAGACATGTAAATTCTGTGATAATATTTTATTACTGACATGTATAGGGGGCTTATTATCTGCATAATTTCTGGGTTTACTCACATAAACTAAGTCAAACTCAAACTGGTGGCAAACACAATTAAGAAGTGTCTTACTAAATAAATTCAAAAGAATAAATTTCATTCCATTTGCCCTGCAGCAGGGCTTCATTTTCACAGACTTGAGAGAGGTCTAGTAGCACTTTGTTGTTCAGTCGTTTTATCATCATCATTACTCCAGTAAACTGTTCCTTCCTCTCCTTGTGGCATATGGGACCACAAGTGTTTTATCATTAGTCTACAATAAAAAGATCTACAACTGGTGACTTACTTAATTGTTAAGGTAACAGCCAGAAGTTGGAAGACAAGAAAAGGATATGAAAAGCTTTCTCGTAGGGGTGGTGTCCACATAACTCTGGTGCACTAAAAAAAAAAAGTTAGCTTAATCAGTGACACATCTCTTTCTTAGATTAAACAATTCTGATCATCCACAAACACTTATTGCATTTGCATAGCTTTATTTTGCACCATAATCATCCTGAGTAGATCCCTATTCACATTATTTCACATCAAAGGATTTCTAACAGGTACCTTCATATAGCTTAAGTAATTAGTAAAGTTTGAGCTCAGTTTTAACCCTTTAACTTCCCAACATCCAATTAGTAATTTTCCCCACTGATTGCCATGCTGTTCCTTGTATATTAGACCCCCCCCCCGCTGGGCAACCCACAAGCATTTCATTGTCATCTATGCAAATTCATCCCCATTCAAATCCATCCATGAATTTGAACTGGCAGTGGCAAGTCTTTCCAACAGAATATGAGTGTTATATCTTTAAATATGGAGCATTATGGGGGTAAAAAAAAAAAAATTGAGATTGGTTGGCAATTAAAGTTCTGTGTGAAAATTGTCCCCTTCCCATACTTACCTCGCCATGATTATACAAGTATGACAATGTGCCTATTAGTCCACCAAGAATACTACCACTAGAAAACAAAAGTTTAAAATCTGACAGTTAATAAAATAATGTATATTTCCATTGAGTGTTATTATACAGAAAGTTAAAGACTAACAAACCGAGACCAAAAAAAAAATATCAGGGGGATCACTCAGAACCCAGCATGAATACAACAAGTGGAAAGTGCAGTGGCCTAATTGTCAGTGCACTGGACTCCATGTCAAGAGGTCTGTGTTTGAGGCCTGACCAGGACAATGCGTTGTGTTCTTGGGCAAGACACTTTACTCTCACAGTGCCTCCCTTAACCCTTTAAGTCCCATGAGTGACCAAGACAGAATTTCTCCTTACAATATTGATACAATATCAAGCAGACAAGTGATGAGAAAGGAGAAGAATATCAAATAGGGGATTATTAGTTGATCCAATACTAAATTCTTTAAACTAACATCACTAGAATTGTATAGTAGACAGTAAGGAGAATTACAAATGAGATCTTGGGAGTTAAAGGGTTAAGGGCTCACTTAATTTGGAGTCTCACTCTGTTGTGTGTCCTGCACCTTAATGGTGAAAGTAATTAAAAACAGAAGATAAAAAATAAGAGACCTTGTGCAAGTAAATTTAAGTGACTAAGTTGTGATCTGTTTTTTTACTTGAGCGGCCAGCATGAGTTATTTGAAACAATTTCAGAGCAAAGTAATTGAAAGCAAATCCAAAACATTTTGGCCAGGCAATTTGTATTCATTGTAACCCTGCAACAAAGCTGACTCTACTGAACTCAAACATAAAAACTCCAAGCTTGAATGTTGCCAGGGTGAATAAGCAGTAGGTAATATGAATGAACGGATACAACAGAAAAATATAGAGGACTTGTAACAGACCTGCAGTGTTCTCTAAATAAAGGTGCAGTTAGTCACTGGCTCTCTAATTAATCTTAAATATCTGCATTTAAGTTCCATGTTTTCAGTTCAATTTTATTATTATATGTAGACCTTAGAAACAAGTACTAAAAGGCTAACAGTTCTGGAACAGTCATATCATCTTTTACATAGCTGACAGCACCTGTGGGCAATATGGTGCAAATCTTGTGTTTTGATTGGTTACCTAGTAAGCAGGCAAGATGGGCACATCTTGCTCTCTCAGAAATACCTGCTTCGATCCCATGAGAGTTTCATGGAGTGGAATTAAAAAGTTCATAAAAAGTGGTAGAAAAAAAAAAACAAACCAAGAAAACATATTAAATGACTCTTGTGGGTTTATTGTGTTGGGAACATGGCCGGCTTTCTTTCCCAGCTCTCAAAAAAAAAAAAAAAGTCATTCTTTATTCTTATCAAAGTGAAATTTTTTTGCTAAGTAATGAATCTTTTATTGACCAAGTTTGTTAGTCAAAATAGCTGGATATTTGTCTTGTTCCTTTTTTGCATAAGCCTTGACTTCGTTTCCATCCATGAAAACACACAAAAAAAGAAATTGGTCAATATCCAGCCATCTTGACCAAACAAGCGTAATCAATAATGCATGTGTATCTGATCTTTAGCAGATCAAATATCTATTACACCCCAAAAAACAACCTAAGACCATTGGTGAGAATCATATCTAGTCATGACCACACAAAAAAAAAATTTACCTGAGATAAAAGCAGAGCAAGAAAAACATGGATATCATGAGTCCACTTAAATAGAAGATGGCATAGACATAGAAAAATGACAGCTCCCCCATACCTAAAAAGAAAAAAGACAGAATTATGCTATCAAATACAAACCATGAGAAATTCCACTTTGTACAGATGCAACAATGAACAGAATATTATCAATACAGTCCTTTGGAAGCAGACAAATCACATAAAAAGGGGAGAAAAACTGTTAACCCTTTATACCCTAATATCAGTATGTATAGTCTCCATAATGTTCCTGATACATTTCCTTTAGTGCTCACAAGGAGAATTTGTATAACAATCAAAAACTTCTTCAGTTGGTGATCATTTCCTTTATTCTTGTGACCTAAATGTTTGTTTCAGGAATGATACAGTTGGGAGAAATAAGATGCTTAATCAAGTCGCTCTTAGGGGTCAAAGGGTAAAGCAAGGCAAGTTTTGAATTGATCGGCAGAGTTTGTCTGAAAACTAATACTAGCAAAACATTACATTTAGGGAAATCAATAAGCATATTGTTTGTATTTCTTACCCTCGCAGCTTTGTACAGGTGGTTGGTTGTAACCTCTGTTAACAGTATAGCATGTCTTGGTGTGGATATTAAAACTTGCGGTTAACCAGTCATACATGCGGAAAGCAAATCCTAACACAACCTGTAGGCAAAAAGGAACTATTTTTACATACAAAGGCTTTTCTTGACCAACAATGAGCAACAAAAGAGTTGAGACATGTAATACCTACTTAACCTTTAACTCCCATGAGTGACTGAGACAGAATTTCTCCTTAAAATATCTATACAATATCAACCAGATAAGTGATAAGAATAAAGAAAAAGATCAATTTGGGGATAATTAGTTGATCCAAAACTAAATTCTCTAAACAAACATTATAGGAATTGTATTGTGTGGTTGACAGTGAGGAGAATTACAAATTTGATCTGAGAGTTAAAGGGTTAAATAAAGCAATGATCCCTGCAGGTGAGCTGTAATTTAAACAATTGCAGAAAAGAAGCCAGAAAAACATTCAGGCTTCGACAAGATTCAAACCAGTGCTTCGGAGGTAACAGTTGGGCAATACTAGTAACTAAGCTATGGAAAGGTTAATTGTTTTATATGTATTATCAACTGAGTTTACAACATAAATTGGCCACTGTAAATAGTATAAAACTTTTTAAAGTGGCCAATTTATGTTATCATACCAGTTGGTAATAATTAATTACCCTGTTATATTCTCCCACTGACACAGCACCATTGTTTCTTTACAAACTTATCTCCTTTATTCATTAACCCTTTAACCCCCAAGATCTTGTCAGTAATTCTCCTTACAATCTGCCATTGTGATGTTAGTCTGGAGAATTTGGTATTGGATCAACATATAATCCCCTACTTGATATTTTTCTTTATTCTCATCACTTGTGTTCTTGACATTGCATTGATATTGTAAGGAGAAATTCTGTCTTGGTCACTCATGGGAGTTAAAGGGGTAAGCTACAGAAAGCCATAGGTTGAAAGCAGGCCACATTTTCATATTTTCTTTCCTTCTCTCAGTTTGATCCAAGTTAATCTTACCCTGTATTTTATTATTTCAATAATGCATCAGTTAAGGCTAAGTAAACTTGAGTTTTTTTTCCAAGTTGTGAGAAACAAGGTAAACCCAAATTAGCAGAGTTAGCAGGTATACATGTACCATCAGTTTTTCTTTAGAGTGTTGCATTGTTGAAGGAGTTCACTCTTTAGCAAGAGTCCTGCTAATCCATTTAGTCATTAACCAAATTCCTTTTTACTTACCTCTGGATATAAATTAAACCTTTTCAGAGTGTTGATGGTGTCTGGATATTCTGTTACATTGCAATTCATAACAGAATAAACTCCATCAAGGAATGTTGGAGCTTCCACAATAGTTTTGTAATATGAATAGTACAAGCCCTGTTTGGATAAAACATATCATTTAATTATACATTGTTGTTATACTTTCAAATAATCATGAAATCATAAAAAAGCTGTCAAAATATTTACTGGTAGATTACACTCAATATAATAAAATAACTTAAGAGAAATAATTTGCTTCTTCCAAAGGTCCTGAGCAACTAATAGTTTGGTAAGCTTATTCTTTTTCTACAGGTTTGGAGGATGGAAAAACTCTACATGAATCTTAACAGTGTCTTAATATATCATACGCCTTTAATTGCAAATTTCAAAAAATAATTTGCTTATTGGAGTTCAGTAAAAGACTGCTTTATGAGTTAATTTATATATAGCAGTCGCGGTGTTGGCTTTGAGGCAGTCTCATGCAATCTCCATCTTCTCCCAGTGTTAAAGTGTTTATTGACCAATAAATTAGCAAAACTTGCCATGTGTTTGATTGGGAGGGTGGGGAGTGTTCCAAACTTTAAATCAGAAAAGATGGTTCTTTTTTTCACTATAGCCTAAATTACCTTAAAAAATATTTCAAAAGAAGTGAAATTTTAACACTTTACAGTAGTAATTTTGCAAGAATTTTGGTGTCAAACAATAGTAAAAATCCTCATAACCAATGGGGAGCGGGAGAACCTCGAGACCCTTAGCGACTCCCTGGATTTGCCAATACATCTTAACACATTGCTTCAGGTACAAGATATTTACTTGAAGAATTCACCAGTTAAATTACAATGAGCTCTTGATAGTCTTAACTATATCATATTCGAACGTGGGGCCGTCATTACTTAACAATTATTCGTTCCTTTCTCTTCTACATGAAAACCCCGCAGGTGTCTTCAATAGAGAGATAAAGAGCTTACCATCTCTGTCCTAAACGACAATTCTCTTTCCAACGCTGACAAATGCGAGAAAAATCGCTCGTTTTCAAACATTCTAGACACGTGGTAGCTGAAAGAACAAAAATAAACCACCAGATGAGCGCAAATGTTTACAGTCATTGTTAAAGGTTCTAATTGCAATTTTATTGTTCAGGGTATCCTTAATATTAAAATTTCAATTCTAGTCTACCAGACGATATTGATTATTATAAATGCAATCATTTTAAAAAGACAACTTTACCTTTGAAATATTCCAAAACTCACAGCTACAGAAAAGAATCAGAAATTTTCAAGTCAGGGTTATCTGGGAATACATGTCACAAAACTGAAGATACTTTAGAAATTCTCAAGCCTCACTGAACTCACGTGTAAGAAAAGCTGATCCTAGGAAATAGCAAAAACTTAAGAGCACGAAATACATACCGATAATCAATACTAAAGAAGCGTAGCCGATGCCATATTTCGTAAATGGAACAATCGACGGTGAAGAATATTTAGCGTTCTGGTCTCTTTGTTTTGGTTTCATTTTGAAACGCCCGTGAGTTTTGGGTTGTGCTGTGCTTCCAGAGCCAGATTTCTGGCTCTGTTGACTAGAAGCTTGTTTTTTCTTCTTCGTGGTCATGCTGAAAAAATATTAAATGCTAACCAAATAACCAAAAATAATTTGGAGCGCAATATTAAGTATTTCGTGATTTTAGCGTGACTTGGTCTTTTGTCTCGCGTTCGTCTTCTGCTGTGTGTCACAGTCAGCGGCGATCACAGGATATTTCCTGATGTGGTGTAGATATAATTGATGTGATACTATTCGGCAAAATGGCGGATGACTCGAACAGGGTGTCTACAGTAAAGAAACATCACCAGCAGGCAAATTTAAATTATAATAGGCCAAAGTACCGAGAGGCTCGTTGGGAAAGGGCAGTAAAGGTATGTGATTGTGTTGTAGTCACTATCTTTAGTTGAGTTTTCATCATGTTTGCAAATAAACTTGGGCAAAAAAGGATCACTGGCCACTGAAGTGGCTGAATACTTGGTGTAGGAAACTATTCTGTTCACATGTGACATGGAACAAAGACAACAAAGAAATTGAAACAAAAAAAGCCTGAAAAATAGCATTTTATAAATTAGGAACAGCTTTCTACGTTCGTACAAACTGAGTTCAAATTTAACTTACCAACAGTCTATGAAACGAACTGTAGATATTGGGAAGAGGTGGAATACAGATGTTGTCGGCTTGTTGAAGAGCATCTGGGTGTGATTTGGTATAAAATACCAGGGAAAGATTTCCATATAACCTCATACTATTCTGTTATTCGTTATCCCAAAGGCATTCTATCATTTTCTTTTACCCTAGAACCACGAGCATAACAGAGTATGGGGTTTTGTGGAAATCGTGTCTATATCGGAATACACAATCCAACTGACTTGCGCTAGCGTGTGATTCACTGGAAGTTTAAAGGTTTCAACATGTGCACTGATATTAAAATGTTGGAAGACGAGAGGAACATCATATGATCTCATCCCTGGCAAAGAGGCAAAGAGGCAAAGAAGCAAGAAAGTTATATAAATCATGCTGTCTTCTCTAAAAATTAACTTGGGATGTGGGAATACGTTTTGAATAGAATGGTCTTCTTTCTCTGCAATGCTTGTATTTGTTAACCTGTGACATTGGGTGCTATGAAAATTTGAACCTTGCTCAGCTGGGGTGGGAAATTTGAACAAGCAGAATACACAAAGAGTTTGAAGGTAAAGAGTCTGCCTTTCTAAGCAAATGGCTTTGAATTGATTGACACATTACCTTGACTTGTTATATTTTCAAGGTTTACACCATAAATCTGGAGTCAAAGTATGTTCTGGTCCAGGGTATTCCTGCTATGGGTGCGAAAAAGGAACTCTTGGAACTCTTTGCACTCTATGGAGCTATTGATGAGTAAGCTTACCTGATATTTGAGCAGCTTTGTTCCATAATGAAACCAGCCGATCTTATTTTCCTTTGTCTTGTATTTGTTACCATTACCTTAAACAAAAGGAAGTGAAAATCAGGCTGGTTTTAAAAATTATTAGCCAGGAAAAAAAAAGAAAACCACAATATTTTGATATATGTTTACATAAGCAAAACTGTTTTTGTTTGAGGGTCCCTGACTCTATCAAAATTAATATTGTAGATCTTCCCCAACTGGTATCCAGTTAACTTGAATCCCCTGACTCTATCAAAAATAATACTGTAGAACTTTCCTAACCTTTATCCAGTCAACTTGAATCCCCATTAACTAAAAACAAGGTCTGATTTCCCTTAACCCTATTTTTTCAGTTATTTACTATCAGCTAACTCTAACCCCAGTTGGTGGGGTTCTATTGTTGAGTTCAATGACCTTTGTTCTAAAAGTGAAAGTTTGAACAGAATGGATTCATGAACTTCTATCGGAAATATCCCTTACCATAAGGTAATTAGAATCATGTTAGTGCAAACCACAAAATCGAGCTAATGTAAAAATATTTCCCTTTTCTGTAAACTGGAGATATTTTCTGTTTGTTAGATCTATATAAAAAAAAGTAACAAAAAGGAGACATCCATTGATACACGTATTGCTGTTCATCTTGGAATAGACTTATATCTAAATAAGTCACTGAATGCAATACGGTTGCATCCTTTGTCATTTGACGCCTTAATTTCTTCAAAATTGAAGTTTTACAATATGTTTCTTATTGAATATTTAAGGTATCGCATCCTAGATGACTACCCAACAGAACCTTTCACTGAAGTTTACTGGATCAAGTTTCAAAGAATCAATTCAGCAAGGTACCAAAAATATGCACTACCTTTAAAAAATTACCTAATGGTTCATTCTAGTGAAAAACAGCCAAATTCAATTTATGTTCAGCGCTATAGGAGACAGTAATTAAGGGAACTTTTGGTTTGGACCCTGTTTATGTTTGAACTTACCCATATTGTTATAATTGTCAAAAAAAAGCCCCTTTCCATGGGCACAGAATTATTTCATTGTTTTGCCCTTGAGGACCCTTCACATGATCTGCACACAAGGCAAAGGAATACATTTTCCAAATGGCAGGTGCACAAAGTTTCAATTCAAACATTTGTTTCAGTGGGGACATTTAACAAATCCTAACTGTGTGTAAGAACTGATTTAATGATTTAATCAGACAAGTTTTTTAACAGTAGTTCCATGTTACTAAGGATGATATCAGAATACTGGTAATTTTCTCTTGTATATTTCACAATAAAAATTGTTTCCCACTTTTAGAACTGCAAAAAAGAAGTTGGATAACAGGTCATTTTTTGGAGGCATTTTGCATGTGTGTTATGCACCAGAATTTGAAACAGTTGACGACACAAGAGAAAAACTCCAAGAAAGAAGAAAAGTCATTGCCAAAAAGACAAGAGGTGAATATGATTTGAAGAAATAAATGCGATATGATCAAAATTACTGGAATACATTGATTTTAAATGAGAAGAACTATAAATGAGTTTCACTTGAAAAAATAGATTTTGTGATTTGCTTGAGCAGTCAGTGAACCCTTTACACGCGAACATCAATGTGCATATTCTCCATACTCTTTTCTACACAATACCTTTGGTACTGACAAGGAGAATTTTTTATGAACAATGAAAGCTTCTTAGTTTGGCAATCATTTCCCTTATTCTCATGATTTTAATGAATGATTCTGAATTGGAAATTTTGGTTGTGAGAAGAAGATAGATGCTGGTCACTCTGAGGGTTTAAAGGTAAAAAAAAAAGAGTACCCTTGGCTGCTATCCAGAACAGGAATTTTTCAAAAGGTATGCAATTTTCTCTGCCATTGTTTACAATGAACCCCCCCACCCCCCTGTACTCCAGACAAACAACCATTGGAAACTTTTTTATTGTGCAGCACATGTGTTTGTAGGCCCTTAATATGTGAATTGTTTATCATTACAGAATTATTTGGTGCACAAGAGAAAGCATGTACAACAAAAGTTGCACCCATTGCTGCCTCCTCAACCAAGAGGTCTAGAGAGGGTTTCAATGAAACAATCTCAGCTTCATCCTCAACTGAAACTACTGCTTCAATTACAGACCCCTCTGGTCCATCAAGAGGCTTGTCACATGGAATAAATTACTCAATGTACACAATGTCATCAAGTTCCTCATTCAATTACCCAACCCTTCCACCACCCCCTCAACATGTTCATCCATACCAATATCCCCCTCCCCCACCCCCATGGGAATTACCCCGTGTACCATCAGCACATGCAACACTTCCAGCCTATTTACAAAATTTCCCCTCCTCCCCTCCCCTCCCCCACCACCCCCCACCCCCACCTCCACCTTCACCTCCCCCTAAATTTCATTCTGTAGAATCACACACTTGCCATGATTCAGGTGCAAACAAAAGTGAAGTTCCAAGACAAGGGAAGGCCTTTACTGTTTATATGTCAAAAGTTATGATTGGACCACAACTCGAAGAGGGGTGAGTTAATACTCAGCAATATAATTTAATTATCATGCCAAAGCAGTCTCCTATGCTGCGCGTTATATATTTTTAATAAGGAAGTGAAGACTCCCAATCTTTAGGTAGAATCAATACCCATGCTTTTTTTTTCTACTCCACTCTCCACCTTAAACAGCCATATTTAGACTGGTCATAGTCTCGCAGTCTCAAAATACCAAACAGCTGTTATCAAGTTTTAAAGACACAAATTTGAATTTTCAATTTCAATTTCAAAAAAATCAATTTGACATCTGATGGAAGTGAAGCAAAATTACATCAAGACAAGCTTTGTACTCATGCTCAAGGAGATCTTTGCAATACAATAATTAAATGATCAAAGCTTAGCTGCTGGGATATTTGTGACTATCATTTGTATTTGATGACATTGCAATTAACTACAGGTGGGTTCTATTGTGTTTCAGGTCTTCTTCAAGCAAGTCTTCACTGGTGAATATTGTGCTAGTGATACTACGTGATGTATAAATATTTTTATCAATTTAATTTTGAGGATATAAATTCAACAAATATTAATGAAAGAATGGTATCGTTCTCCATGGAAGAAGTGAATCAGTTATAAGGAAACTGAACAGAAACATCAGTGGTAACTTTTCTGTGGTATTTAGTAAGTTCTTTTGCACTTTGTGATTTATCTCGGAAAGTGTTCATGGTTTTTTCATCATAATGTCTCTACCAGCCAATATTAAACTAAAGAACCAGATATACCACCACACACTACCAAAAATTTCAAGCTGAGAAAATTGGGTTGTGATGTTATGATTGTTAAAATCTCTGTTGCCACATCTTTGAGTATGTCTGTACTTAAGTTGAACTGTGCAACTAAATTTTCAGGAGAATTGGGAATGTAAATTTATCATGCCAAAGCAGTCTCCTATGCCTCGCATTATATATTTTTAATAAGGAAGTGAAGACTCCCAATCTTTAGGTAGAATTGATACCCATGCCTTTTTTTCATGAAGGGATACTATCAAATTTCAAAACTTATTTTTTGAGATGTAAGGCAATTAGCAAACTTATTATGAATGGTATTGATCCATGAATAGAATTTTCTTACATGTATGGGCAAACACTTATTACCTTGTCAGGTGGTTCAGCATTTAACCATTTTACTCCAAAGATCTCATTAGTAAATAAATGCTTCTTACTGTCTTCCATATAATTCTTATGATGTTAGTTCTGAGGATTTGGTACTGGATTCAGCTAATAATCTCCTTGTTGATATTTTTCTATATTTTCATTACTTGTCTGCTTGATATTGTATTGATATTGTAAGGAGAAATTCTGTCCTGGTCACTCTTGGGAGTTGAGGGTTAATTAATAAGTGTAATTTTAAGATGGTGATATCTCAGTGTATACTAGTGAAGGAAGAGGGGGGGGAGGTATTCATACAGGTGTGTCCAAGAAAATGTTCCTTCAAATATTCCTTTTATCAACTCTCAGATGCCGAGACATTGTCAAATGTTAAGATAATGAGAGTTAAGAATCCTTTCAATTAAGTGTGTTATCTTTATATACAAGCATAATCCCTAATACTCCTTACCAATATGCAGGTGGTTACTAGAAATGTATAGCAACTACAAGGGAGAATTTACTTATTACATCTCTTTTGCTCTGTTTCTCAGACTGGTGATGACTCACTTGATAAAACTGCCTACACTATAAGAAATAAAATTCAAAAGGTATAGTTAATATATGAATTGACTGATGTTGATCATTGATATCTGGTCTGTCATACAATATAATGAGAAATTATGAAGTAGTCATCATGATAGAAAGTGCACTTGTTGGTCGATGAGTGTGTTTAGATGAGAGTTTGAGAATGAATGTTCAGATAGAAAGTTCAGCTACATTGGAGATTGTTTAGGATGGGGTTGTTAAACAACGACTAAAGTTTGTTTTAGATAATCAGACCTCGGGGTTAGAGAGAATTCCCAAAAGTTATACAAACTCTTGACTGCCTTCATTTGCATACCTTTATGGAATCCTTCCAACCCTTCTTGTGTTTAAACAAGGCTATTCAAACACAGAGAATTTCCTCTATTGCTTGAGTGTCATGTAATTCACAGTATTGTTCATGAGACTTGAAGTTGTGATGATTTATTTAAAGTTATATACATTTAGGTTTAAACTGTAGAGTTTGTATATCACCCAGAATAATCATACCAAACTGTGGTCTCTCCTTTTACAGCTCTCAGGAGCATGTCAGAGTACAAATAATATTTCATCCTCAGCTGAACAAAATGTGCAGCTTCATATTATTCAGGTAATAAGAACAATGGAGTTCAACTTTTTCTTCCTGGAGTGATTACTTGTTACAATTTTGATCCACTGCATTAATGTTTTAATCTATCACCAAATTCTCTGGACCAGGAAGGAAAGAAATTTATAGACATCAGACATGAGAATTTGGCTTTAGATTGTCAAAAAGGTATTAGTATATCAGTATAAAGTAAACTTTAATTATTAAATCACATTAAAGCCTTGTGATAGCAAGTCCACCCTCCCAGTCTTTTAATTATTTCTCTCCCCCTCAAGTGTTAACATTACACAATAGTTACTGATTGAAACATTGTTTTTTCAACAGAATTCTGGTAAATCTACAACATCATCTGTTCCAAAAACGAAAAGGAAAAGAATTTGAAATGCTCTGAATTAATACTTTGAGTCAATGTGGTTCCTTATCTAGACAACAGCCATCAAACTCACTGCAAATGCACACCAGTAATTATTATAAACTACCAAAAAAAAATAGAAAATGGAACAAATGAGATACATGGCTCAGGCCACATGAAGAAAAATGGAGATAAACAAGCAAGGAAAGTTAGTTATATCTATTCTTTCAGGTAAAGTTTTTCTCTGTGACTTATTTCATAACTCTTTAGGAGACTCTACACTTCTTTGCATTGCGATATTTGTTTTTCAGTAACACAGCCCACTCACTTGCATGCAGTAAGGGCCTCTTACTAAAGCAAGTTAATTTTGCTAGCTCTCTTAAGCTTTTTTTATTTGGGGAGGCTGTATGGAAGGATGAGAAGAAATCTCTATAGCCCCACCCCCTCCCCTCTCCTTCCTTTTGATCATTACCCACCCCCTTGGTAAAAATTTCTTTCTCTCTTAAGCCTTCCACCGCTAAAAATGTAAAAGATGGCAGCTATAACTTTAACTAAGAAAATACTAACCACTTGCCTGCCAAAATTACGCCTATTCTGAAGGTTAACTATGCGCACATCAATGGTGAACCAAAAAGAAGGCATATGTCATACATTTTAAAGAAATTTTTCAATAACCACCTTTAATGCTTTCTCATTTCTTGTTGCACAGAATCCCCAAGTTTCTCCATTATTGTAATTTCTTTTCAATTCCTCCTCAGATGTTAAGCTCAAGCACAGTGGAAGGTACAGAATCCTTATCATAGAAAGAATATTGAAAGTCACTTTCATTTGCTAATTTGTTACAGAAGATTGTCCTAGAATATTAGCTATGGGTTTAATTTATGTTAATTGTTAATCAAAGAATCAGCTGTGTAACTTGATAGAGCAAGAGAAACTTTCCTGATTTTTAGAAATAATCAAGTGAATAAATAAGAATAAAAAGGCTGTTCTTGATTAAGAAAGGTCGTATATTTTTTTATGATTATGCTGAGGATGAAGAACATAAAAGTATGCAATCAATCAATAAACCTTATTGAAGTGTCTAAAACTTCTAGTCAGCCCGGAGGCCAACTAATTGGGGATACTCAAACCTGTATTAAGCAGTAACCCTTGGGGAATGGCAGCATGTCAAAGCTTAATACAGGTTGACTTCTTAATACAACTTGGCCGGCAAATAACTTGCCTGATATTTGTGTGTAAACTGCAATGTTGAGGACATTTTTTTTAACTCATAGTACTTACATTGATCCTGGGAGACACACATGGAATACATTTTACATAGGAGATTATTCTTAATTTTATATAATGAGTGGTTCTGCTATAAGTGACTATTCAATGCAGGTGGAGGACAATACAAACATTTGGTGTAGGGCGATCATGACATGGAATAGGAGTGAAAATTACAGTTCTTAAAGGAAAATATTTGGGACTTTGACAACCAACCACTTAATACAGGGTGACCACTTAATATGGTGCTGCTTAATACAGGTTTGACTGTACCTGTCACAAATGAACTTAATTGTGGCCTAACTTGACATCAGAAGTTCCAGGGGTCAATCCCTTGTGGGGGACTGTGGGGGGCTGAGATTATTTCCCTTCTTTGCCCTTGTGACAAAACAATTGACCCTTTAACTCCTTAGGGTGATAAGCATCTAATTTCTCCTTACAATATCACCGCTGAATCAAACATTGAGGTCATGAGAATAAAAATGATCACCAACTAAAGAAGCTCTTGATTGTTAATCAAATTCTCCTTGCCAGCCCCTTGGGAAATGTATAGAGAATATTATGGAGAATATGCATACTGATGTTAGGGTGTAAAGGGTTAACAAGTTTTTATTTAAGGACGAGATTCTTGTTCAGTAAAGTCACTTTTAGTTTCCTTTTTTTTTCAATTTAATGACCAGTCAACCTTAAAAGTTACAGAGGAAAAGCTGAAGATTAAGACTTGTTCAGGTGAATATCAGTTTTCAATTTAGAGACACTTTCATCCCCAAAATCATTCTTTGCCCAAGACAAAACTATATATCAATATTAATCACAAAAGTAATAAATAAAATCGGGAAAATACAATTAAAACAATCAAAATTTGATGATCATCAACCTTGAGCAATCTTTATTTTCTGTTCTTGGTTTCACTTCCACACTGATAGTTGAAAAGGTAAATAAACCTCACTGGTTGATTGTGATAAAATAATTTTACACTCAATGAAAAATTATATTTTATCTTACATTAATAGCTAGCCCCTATAGATACAAAAGCACATTGGTATAATTTTTAAAATTTCTAATATTATTATAATAACAAGAAAACTTAAAAATTGGTTTGCAACCAATAACACTAAAAGCTAACAGTAATTCTATAAATGTTTGAGGAATCATTATGAAATCTTCCCTGTAACCCCTTGGAAATTCAAGATAGACTAAAGAGTGATTTGATCTCTATTTTTTTATTTTTTTTTTTAGTTTAAAATTGGTACGAAGGAGAAAGCAATAAATTTTTTCTTGAGATATGTTTCAAATTCATTAAAGGGTATTACAGTATGTAATTACACTCTGCAAAAAAATTGATGACATTGTGAGGCAGTGTGGTCAGGCAGTTAACCCTTTAACTCCCAGAAGTGATTAACATGTACCTTCTCCCTATGATCTCTATATGTTTTTTAAGGAAATAGTTGATGAGAATACTCAAACTCAACAGGAAGAAGTTTTTATCTTGATCTTACTCCAAATTCTCATCACTAATTTACAAGGACTTGTGTAGCAGTAAGAGGAGAGAATTAACAACCAGATCTTGGGAGTCAGAGAATTAAGACGCTGGTCTTGTACCCTGCTACTCACTGAGTTTGTTCTTGGTTGCCTTGAGGTCAAATCATTGGCTGTGCTTCCTATTTTGGCCAACTGGTTTGCCTCTGGCCAGTTAGGATGTTTAAAGTCTATGTTTATTTACAATGTTCATTTTCAACTTGTTTGTATTGGCCCTAAAAGCCCTGTTAGGGGAAAGGTCAATTTATGTTATTATTGATGTTAACTATACACTGGAAGTAATCCATTGATCTTCCCAGATGAAGTTTAATAGGGAAATTCTAAGAGAAGAACCCTGAAACAATTCAGGCTTTGACGTGGTTTGAACCAAAGCTCTGTGAGTTTTCATTGTTGGATGTTCTACCAACTGAGCCAAAAAGCCACACACCAGGAACAAGCCAATAATCACTCCATTAGTAGCAATCATCCCCTGAACAAATCATGATTTATTCCATTTGTTGCTCATACATTCCTGTATGGGAGCAAAGATCCCACAACAATTTCCTAGCTTGGGATATGTGACTTCAGAGTCCATCTGTTTCAGTGCTCAACTGATATATGGAGGTACAAATTGGTACTCAATCAAATCCTGACTTTTTTCAGCCTTCTTAAACTCCCTCATTTGTAATTATGGCACAAATATATTTATGCCACAAATAGGGAGTTCCTGGTAATTTCTAGAAAGCTAATTAGTGATGTTATATGGATACTGGAGCTCCAATGCAATGCTCTGTAACTTTCTGAAACATTCTTCTAAGTGTTGTATTACAGTCTATAGTGCTTTGAAAAAAGTTGCTGACATTGTAAGCTTCCAGAACATTCTAGAATGACCAATAAATGTATATAGTATGCCTGTCACTTAAAATAATCTTTTTCATCTGTGAAGACTGTTTGGAGAAGCTAAAGAAGGCCATTGTGGCCTTCTATAGAAGTTGGCCTACAGTCATTCGTGTGTACATACAAAAATACATACAAATATACATTGATTGCACTCTCTGAACAGGTCTTTTAGCAACAATACTGAAAAATAAAATTCAAATTCTGAAGAATACAGAATCAAATGAACTAAAAATCATTGCTTTAAAAATCATGGTCAAAGTGTAAGAAAAAAAAGTACTATAATATTTCCTAATGTTAAATTAAAAGCATTTCAAATACTGTTTATGTTTTAGAAGAAGACTTGCCTAGAAGATTGTCAAGAGTTTCAGAAGAGATTTTGGGATAGTAGTGTTTACTGTGATTTTTATATTGGTAGCAGCTGGGTTAATAGCCAGTAATGGGCTGTTGTTGTTTTAATTTAACCTAATAACTAAGTCTCTTAACTCTTTAACTCCCATGAGAGACTGAGAGACAGAATTTTTCATTACAATATCAATACAGTGTCAACCAGATTAGTGATGAGAATAAAGAAAAATATCAGTTTGGGGATAATAAGTTGATCCAATACTAAATTCTCTGAACTAACGTTGTAAGAATTGTATGGTTGACAGTTAAGGAGAATTAAAAATTTGATCTGGTAGTTAAAGGTTTAAAGCAATTAAGCAAGGCTTTTGGAATGAAGTGATTATGAAGTAATTTGTTGTGAAATAAAAGTATAGAGGGCTTTAGCCTCAATGCCCAGGAAATTGATCAAGTAAATTTTAACTTAAAATATCTGAGTAATCCCTTCAGTCACAAGCACATAGCCTCGCTGGTCCTCTGTTTCACTCTATGTAGATTGTCTTAAAACCCCACAATGTTAAAGAAAACAATAATATAAAAGTATTCTTAGAAAAGAAAGTATTCAAACTACTTTTATAAAACTAACTTATGAACATAGCCAAGAGGATTAGCAGCAAATAAAAGCCATGAAGGAAAATTGTTGTGCTATTCCTTAAAGGCCATACACATTCCCCACCCACCCACCCATCAAAAGAAAAATCAGTGACAAACTTGAACTGTCCACTATCTGATATTTACAATAAATCTGATTGATCTGGTGAATGAAATTGGTAAATTACTTCTCAGTAAAACAAGGAAATCTAAAGAAACGAGTCAAACCCTTAGATTGGATTTGGTGTACATCATGGCAATTTCCTGCTTAATCATAACCATTACAATTTCCTCAAATGTGATTTGTGCATTAGCTGCTTCGTTTTTCACTAATCATTCTGCACAGTTGTAATCGGACAGTGTAATCGGACAGTTGGCTGTAATCAGACACCTGTAATCGGACAGTTGAAGCAGCCAATCTTATAGGTCTACTCAGCTAAATCCACCCATCACAGAATTGATCACAATAACCATAGCAACAACCACTTATCCAAAGAAAATCAATTTCCAAAATGGAGGAATATTTAACTAAAGACATTGTCTCCACTGGAGATATTTGTTCTAGGTGTATTTTTTTTTCGGAAATTGAAATGGTTATGATTAATTGGTAACAGGATTCCTTGTCGTCCAATTCTGTCAGTAATCATACTCGTGATAAGCAAATCGGACTCCCGCTTCGCGGTCGTCCGATTTTGTTAATCACTCGTATGATTACAGACCGAATTGAACTCCACTCGGTCCTATTACCATAATGTATTATTATTATGACACCGTTATTATTATTCATGGCTAGAAAACTCTGGAACAACAGTGTAATTCCAATGAAAACCAAAACCTAACATAATGTTTAAAGAATCTGGATTAAAGCCAGGTACATTTTGGAAATTTTATTTCAAAAAGGAAATGGGATATTGACTTCTTCTTAGAAATTAATTCAAGCCAAAAATATTAGCGAATAATTTGGAACAACAAGAAAACATCAAAAACAGCAGTTTATAAAACGACTACTCCATCGCATCCATCACCGAATGAAAGATAGTGTAGAACAGCAGCAATGCGTCCGTCATTATTCAGTGTAATCCCTGTTATTGCATAGAAAAAACGACATTGGATTTGTATGCTACGAACAAACTCACCATCTTTGCTGTATATTTTAAACTCCAGGAGGTCTCCCTCTGGTCCTCTGCCAGCGACAACGACATGTTCACTTGCTGGGTGAAATGTAATGCACGTGTAATCAAAGTAATTCCTTTGTTTCAGTTTAAACTTGTTCAGATGGTTGCCGTGTTCACTGAATATGTGAACAAAGAAATCTTCTTTGCCAAAATCACTAAGGAAGGAATTCTCATCACTGTCCAATACTAAAACACGGCCATCATTAGCAACAGTGATATCCTTCGCAAACTTCAATATTTCTTCTCCAAAATTGCGAACAAACTTTCCATCACTGTCATATTCCGCCACTCCACGCCCGAAGTCCGTCAGTGTCACTACTTTCCCTGTATCACTGACTGACAGTCCTCTGTAAAAATTATAGCCCTCTCCCCTCAAACGAAACTTGTGATGCAGTTCGGCGGTTTTAGTAAGTTTATAAACCCACCAAAAGCACTCATAACTACGCTCCACCACTACGGTCAGCAGAAAGATATTGTCTTTCATGTCTGTGGCTACATCTACAATATTTGAATTTATATTGACGTCATCGGTAGGGCGACTGAAATGTTTCACAAACGTACCGTTTCTGTCAAATACCACGCAACGATTTCTACGATTCCCGACAATGAATTCTCCGCTGGAGTTAGTAGTGATACCTTTCGGGTCATTCAGCCTGTGTTCCTTCTCATCCCCCTGTCTAAGTGACCATGGTGTTACACAACAGTGCTCCATGCCTTGTTGAACAAGTACTTTGGTTACTCTTGCGTCATACAATGGATTGATTTTGTTGCCTCCAGTCTCAACTGTAGGCCAGATCCAAAAGTGTGCGTCTCCACCGAATGTTCGCGTGACATCATAGATGACACGATTCACGTGACAGACACTGGAGATGATTTCCATTCTTTCCTCTTTATCTAGCAAACTTCTTACTGCCTGAATGCCTGTCTTGAGCTGAACATCAAAGTTATTTTATACTGCTGGCAGAGAGTTTAGTTCCTCTACACACACCCTGCATGGTGCCAGAGCATCAGCGGGATTGTCTACTGTCTCTAATATGGTCGCCATTACTCGATACTTCATGGCCAGAATGCGGTCAGATGTTTCAAGGCTTTCGTTATTAAACGCTTCTGTTGCTTTCCTTCGAGCATCTTCAAATCTTTTTTTTGCAGTGGAAAGCTTTCTTGTAGCAGATTCATCCAGGCCAGTAATCTCTAACCTTCTGATTCCTTCAATAAGGGGAATTGCTTCATTGCAAGCCGCTTGTGCTTTTACTGCGCCACACTCGCCTCTAGTGTTTGCTATCTTAAACACTTCATACAACAACGCAATTCCTTCCTTAAAGAAACTGATACTCGCTTCTAAATCCTTCCTCGATAACGCGTCCAACTTTGACTTAATTTCGTCGATTTCCTTGACGATCAGGGAGTGGAATTTTTGATCTGTTACATCGCCATCTTTCAGAATCTCCGCGATCTTATCTCTGCCTTTGCTGGCTAGCAAACCGATGGTGGATTTGAACACGGGTATTACTATGGAGGACATAGCGGTTGAATAAATTTGAGGGTAACCTCGGAAACCTTGTATGTGCTAATAGAAATTGTGATCTTTCTTATTCTTACGCTCTGATCAAATTTCTTTTAAGGAGTGTTTAGATGTTTAGATAAGATATCAGAGTACGTCTTTACTTTTAGCAACTTAAAAATGGGATTCATTCGATAGGACTGGACTTTGTAATCTCCGATTAGAATGAGCTTTTGCACCGTCGGAACTTCACGTTATCACGTGCGATGGTTAGCAACTATCCTGGAGTAGTGTTCATTACTGCGAGCAGTATACTGAAGAAGTGTTCATTACTGCGAAGATCGCTCCTATATTCACGTCTTTATCCACAGTTCACATCTGTGATTTTCACAAGTTCACAGTCATTTATTATTCATCACTTCATGGGTTTATTTGGAACCAACGTAATGACCAGCTCCCAGTTGGCTCGTTAGTTCAGGGGGTAGAGCACTGCACGGGTATCGCGGAGGTTATGGGTTCAAATCTCACACAGGCCTGAATTTTCTTTCGGGCGTTATCTTCAGTATTGCTCAAGTAGTGTTAATTATAGCGAAGATCGCTTTCATATTCGCTTCTTTATCCGCAGTTCACATACGTGATTTTCATATATTCACACTCATTTACTGGAGTTGGTTGGGACGGACAGTTACTGATCGACACCATTGCGCTCAAGCGCACACCATGAACGGTAGTAACTTAAATTGTCATATTGAAAAAAATAAATATCTGTATTGTAATAAGCAGTTGTCGACGAAGGCAGAAGAGGCTGCAGCACATGGCAATATGAAGGACCTTTATGATATCACCAGGAAGTTGGCGGGTAAATTTCAACAGACTAGCAGCCAAGTAAAGGACAAAGAAGGTAATATCTTGACTAGGGAAGATGAGCAGCTTAAGCGGTGGGCACAATACTTCAATGATCTCCTCAATCGTCCTCCCCCGCCAGAACTTCCAATAATACCGGAGGCTTCAGCTGAGCTGAATGTGAACTGCGGGAAGCCATCCAAAATAGAGATTGTGCGCTCTATCAAGATGCTTAAGTCAGGGAAAGCAGCTGGCCCAGATAACATACCTCCAGAGTCCCTGAAAGCTGACCCCGACCTATCAGCAGATATCCTTTATGGCTTGCTTAGAAAGATATGGGAAGAGGAGGAGATGCCCCAGGACTGGAACGAGAGCTACATTGTAAAACTGCCAAAGAAAGGTGACCGCCGGGAGTGCAAGAATTACAGAGGTATATCCTTGATGTCAGCGGTAGGGAAGGTGCTGAACAGAATTATCTTGCTTCGTCTTCAGGGGGCTGTGGATGCTACACTGAGAGATCAGCAGGCTGGCTTCAGGAAGGACCACTCCTGTATCGACCAAATAGCCACACTTAGGATAATCATTGAGCAGTCATTTGAATGGAACACTTCTCTTAACGTTAATTTCATCGACTTTGAAAAGGCTTTTGATAGCCTTGATAGAAGTGTTCTTTGGTGCCTTATGAGACACTATGGCATACCGGGGAAATTCATTCGAATCATCAAAAATTCCTATGATAAGATGACTTGCAGAGTCCTTCATGCTAGTGGATTGTCAGATAGCTTCACGGTCAACACTGGGGTCAAGCAAGGTTGTTTGATGGCACCGTCTTTGTTTCTACTTGCTATGGCCTGGATCATGAAGGAAACAACTAGAGAACAGCGAAATGGGATCCAGTGGAACTTATTGGAGCAACTTGAAGATCTAGAGTTTGCTGATGATATCGCCCTGGTGTCAAGTAACAACCAACAAATGCAGGACAAAACAGCACGGCTAACAGCTAATTCCATCAAGTTAGGCCTGCATCCGAATGTGAATAAGACCAAGGTTATGAAGGTCAACTGCACCAACAACAGACCAGTTAAAGTGAGGGATACCATCTTGGAGGAAGTAACATCTTTTGTCTACCTAGGCAGTGTAGTCAGCATTGACGGAGGTTCCGATGAAGATATCAAGGTCAGGATAAACAAAGCCAGAGTAGCTTTCAATACGCTGAGGAAAGTGTGGTCCTCCCATGTCATCTCACGGAGAACCAAATTTAGAATTTTTAACACCAATGTCAAAGCAGTCCTCCTCTATGGCTCAGAAACGTGGAGAACAACTAAGCAAACGTCCCAGAAATTGCAGACCTTCGTCAATAAGTGCCTTAGGCGAATTTTAAAAATCAGTTGGACTGACAGGGTAACGAACGAGATGCTGTGGGAATTAGCAGGCGAGGAACCAATCATAACTCAGATCTCAAAGAGAAAGTGGAGATGGATAGGTCACATCCTAAGGAAACCGGCTAACAACATCACCCGGCAGGCATTACGTTGGAACCCCCAGGGCAAGAGAAAGAGGGGTCGTCCCAGGAACTCCTGGAGAAGAGGTGTAGAGTCCCAAATGAGAAACTGGGGCCACACTTGGGCCACTTTAGGAAGTTTTGCCCAGGACAGAACCCGATGGAGGACGGAAGTGGTTAATGGCCTATGCTCCAACCGGAGCTAAGGGTTTATCATCAATCAATAAGCAGTTGTATTCTTTATCCAAATATCTGAGCGATATGAGTATTGAACGAAACAAACTCCTTACTATAATCGAGCGGGTTTGTAGACTGTTTCACACCCTTGGCTTTTTCTCCATATCGGATTATGTAGACTCTTTGTGCGAACTTAGGCTACCTGTGTTGTCAGTTGACTCAATTCTACTTGGGATTACCACGTACACTTCTTTACTGAATTCTAAAGCCATTCTGGAGATTAGACATATTACACACTTAGACGTCGAATGGGAAACCATTAACATATCCTAAAGGGAAACACATAAAGTTTGAGTCCGATTTTGGTGTTTGCCTTTGTTGTTGGATTTTAATTGTTCTTTTTTTTTCTCTCAAAACTTTTCAATTATTTAACACAGAACGCTATCAGGAAATATGATTTTGACCATCCACGCTCTTATGGAATACCTTCAATTTTTTTCCGTGAAGCATTTCTTTTGCCTTCTTCAGTGTTGTTGTAGTAACGAGTTCATACATCTGACGTTAGTCCCGTCCGTTCCAAATTTTCCTTCTTTCAACTTGGGTTATACCCAACGAAATCCTTGCTAACATGATTGAAAGAAAAGCAACATGCCTCTGCTTGTGTCAAATAAACAGGATATATGAATACTAAAACAGCTGTTGACCTCTAAAATGTCTTTCTCTTGTTTTACATCTTCTACTTTGTTCGAAACAAAAATATCTTAGCAAATTCATCGCTTGAAACTGATTCCCTTGCACTTGTAGAAGCAAATGTTCTATAAATGTCTTGTAGACTCATAATCGTTTATTCAGCTTTAATATATTATTATTGAACTAGTGTGATCTTAGTATGTCAAAAAGTAATTAGCTTTTAGAGTATGTACATTCCTGTAATCAGCTGTAATTCAAGTATGTTGATGGTTACCGCATTCCAGCAATTTCTTTATAAATTTTTAAGAGGGATAGACTGAAAGCAGGCTATGAATCACATGAAAAATGTGAGTCATTTCTCATAGCATTTCCAAAATAACGAGACAGGGTGAAATTTTTCTAATTTCCTCATGCAGATGTGCTCAGTTTGTTTACTGACTTTGCTTTGGACCTACACGAAAGTTTTTGTTTTGACTAACGCAGTCAGAAGTTGACCCGGTTGATCCGAAGCACTGCTTAAGTTAAGATTAAGTACTTTGTTACTTTTGTTGTTCAGATCGAAAGTCTCGTGAAATTGTTTGGTTTAGCTTCTAATAACAAGTGTTTGATCTCCCAAGGTCAGCCAGCTGGCATGCCCAAACGTATCTGTCAGTAGTGAATATATAAGCATTATTTAGAATTTACTTAGAAGAGAGTGGAAGAATGTAGACAGAGTGCAGTCGAGTAGAGTCAGAATCCCGCAGTTGGAAGGAAGTATCCACTGAGAATCAAAGCACGAGAGCCTAGCTAAGAGATTAACCAGAGTTTTACGTAATAAAATAAGCTTAGATGTAAGTGGAATTGTGTACTGGGAAACCGAGCAATCAAACAAAGCAGAAAAGCACAGTTCGAGAGTCTTGGTTCCTTTCACCGGGCGTGATGTGCTCGATAGCTAATTCCCCCGATATTTAATAGTATAACATACTTGGTGGAAGATTTAGTCGTAATAAACATTAAGAAAAGAAAAAGGCTAAAAAAAATGGCTAAAAATTTCTATTTTCTTTTTACGTATTTACTCGGGACCGTTAAGGTATTTTTTCTTCTTTCGGGAAAGTGAAATGAAATGCTCTGTCACATTCATTCATGGAGTGTAAGGTTATTTCCTATTCCAGGCTCAGTTTCTCTTGCTATCAACAGAAAAAAAAAGACTTGAATAAAGTAAAGCAACGATCTTCAAAAGTAAGCTGCAATTTAACCCTTAACACCTTAACATCAGTATACATATTCTCCTTACCGTTTCCCATACATTTCCTAAGCTGCTAACAAGGAGATTTCTTTAACAATCAAGAGCTCTATTAGTTGGTGATCATTTCCTTTATTCTCGTGACCTTAATGTGTGATTCAGGGGTGATATTGTAAGGAGAAATGAAATGTTAGTCACTCTTACAGGGTCGAAGAGTTAAATAAAAACGAAAGGTACTTGTAATATGCATTTGCGTTATCAGGATTGAGAAGGGGTCTTTGTGATGTGACTTCGAGCTACGGAATTCAGTTCAGTTGATAATACCCATATTCAGAGATGCCAATCTCTGGAGATCTCAAATCTTGAGACTTTTTTCCGGACCAGTACCCCCCCCCCCGACCGGATTTGCCAATGCGACCCACCCCGAAAAATTTTTTCTGATTCGGAATCTCTATCCCCTCCCCCGCCCCCACCGATCAACTTCGAGGGAAAAACGTGGATCTATCTATCAGGGACTTCAAACAAGAAATTTTTCTTCTTTTTTTGTTTGCAACGAACAAAGTGCATCACGCAAGAAAATGAAGCCAG